GTTTTCAGAGAGAAGGTCCAAGCAGACCTCGAAAAATCATCAATCAGAAGCAGAGAATACTTTGAACCTCCCAGTGACTCAACAGACATGGGTCCACACAAATCTGCATGAATTAAGTCAAAGGGTTGTGTGGTCTGCCTCTCTGACTTTGGATATGAGCATGTCACAACTTTCGCCTGTTTACATGCATTGCAATCTAGAAATTTGTCACAAACATTAAATTTGCACCCTTGTGTCAGCTCTGGTGCTTTCTGGAGATATCTCCAATTCAAATGAGCGAAGCGTCTGTGCCAAATATGTGAACAACCATTGTGGGGCGCTACATTCACACATTGGCCTTTCGCATCTTCGGTGTCATCCTCTCCTGTGGAAAAAGGCACATTTACAGCAAACAAGTTATCTTTAGACTGCACTGTGTACACGTGTTTCCCATCCTTGGAAACTTCACATTTGTCACCTGCAAAAGAAATTTGGAAACCATCGATCAATAGATCATGCACACTTAACAAACAGTTAGTTAAACCAGGCACTGCATAAGCTTTGACTTCATGCTTAAGGAAAGGACAAAAGAACAGTCCTGTTTCTGTTAGCCTTTTTCTGCTTCCATCTGCAAACTTAACATACTTCTCAGTTTTTACTGTCCTGCAATTCCTCAAAAGATCAGCAGATGGCACCAATGAATTTGAGGCACCAGAGTCTATTATTACAGTGAGAAAGTCTTGTTGTTTACATTCCTGGGTCGCCAGGGCAACAATCTCCTCACTACCCCCCTCCTTGGGGCTTCTGCAGATGTCCTCTCTGGTTGTCACGGCAACAGACTCCCCCCGGCAGGAAGACTTGCCCACGACCTTCACAGCTTCCGTAGATGCAACTCTCTCAGTTGCCATGGAGACTGGACTTGTCTCGGCGTTCCCACACAACTCTGAAGCCCTTATCTCTACTTGCTGCAGGTGGCTGACCTTGAAGCCTCTAGCACTCTTCAGCTTCCCAGGCTCCGACTCACGACGTAAACAACTCTTGGCAGCTTTTGGAGAAAGAGGCGTCTCTGAGCTTTCACTGCTCACTGCCCCCCCACTGCTCACGGGGTCTCCAGAACGTTTTTCTGCACCCCCTCTGAAGGGTAAAGGGCTCTCAACACTTGGTCTCTCTTCAGGCTCCTCACACAGACACGTTGCAGCATCCACACAGCTCCCAGGCTTAGCAAAAGCACAAGCAGCATTGCTAGCAACAACAGCAACAGTCCCTTTGCCCCCCTGTGGGGGCTCACAGCCCCTCCCAGCTGTGTATCGGCACTCAAGAATGTGGCCGGCGCCATCTTGCCTCTCCCTTTCGGATGCAGCCACTTCTCGGCCCTTGCTTCCCACTCCAGCTCCACAAGCTTCTTGGAGTGCTAGCCAAGCGGCCTCTGGCCTTCTTGCACCCAGGACAACAGGCACCAGATGAGCATCCACACTTTCTGCCAAAAAAAGCAAGCACACGCTTCTCAACTTCACTTTGCTGTGCAGCCCTATTAGCCTCTGCTTTCCCAGCTGCATTCTGTGTGGGGTGAATTACATTCCACAGCTGCTCCCCAACCAGCAAAAGCTCCACTTGAAAGCTCCACTGCAGCCAATTTTGGCTAGTCAGTTTCTGACATGGCAGTTTAAACTCAAAGCCATGTTCATGGGGCTGAGCCATTGCCTCCCTTCTGTTGACTTTTCCAAAGGGTACTCACTCACTCAGCCAAACTGGGACCTCCGGACGTCATGGCTCTTGGCTCCCACTCTCTGTCAGCCTCCTCCGATCTGCCCCTTTGAAGTCTCCGGCAGTCGATCAAACTGATGATCAGCAGATAAAGCTTCAAAGCCCTTCCTCACACGCTTCACGTTGGACCATAACCATGTCCATAACCATGTTAGGTAGATTTATTGCTTTATTCTTGGCGTCCAGCACACTTCCCCCTGCGAGCCTCTGCAGGTCGTAAAGCAATTAGCAGAATTGCACAGCGTCCGTGTTGAAAGGGCAGTAAAGAAGTCCCACACATTTCTTCTTTCCTAGTAGCACTTTATTTGCTCAAAAGTAGCATATTTACAAGCATGGGATTCCATCTGATTCCAGCTGCATTTTGCGTCCTTCTCTCAGCTTGCAGCTGCGTAACAAAGCTGTTTTCACTTTTCACTCAGCTCACAGCATTCCAAGCTGCTTTCGTCACGTCCTGGCTTACTTCCCTTGTAAGCGCCTCCTCTCAGCCTCGAGACACAGAAGGTTAACCCTTCACTACACCCAACAAATACAAAAATAGACAATACAAAATACAAAAAAAAAGACAAAAGAAAAAACAGTTAAAAACAATACCATCTTTTCATCACCACTTTTGAATTTACTTATTTTCTGGACCTCCTCATACCTCCCTCTTTTGTATTCCAGTTCAATTTGTTTGTCCAGCAATTTCTTTCCCTCTTTTTTAATCCCAATTCTTAATCTTAATATGGTATAACATTAAATTCTTATCTATTAATAGCCAGTTTTCCGTTCTTTTAACCTTTTTATGCCTAAACCTTAATCTTAGTCTGTATATACCTTTAACGCCTGTGCAGCTAGAAACCACTTAATTTCAATCCATCATCACTCTAACATTCTTTAATTTTGCAATGTTTCTGTAGGTAGTCTTTAAATTTCTTCCAGTCTTCTTCCACCGACTCTTCTCCCTGGTCACGGATTCTACCAGTCATTTCCGCCAGTTCCATATAGTCCATCAGTTTCATCTGCCATTCTTCCAGAGTGGGTAGGTCTTGTGTCTTCCAATACTTTGCGATGAGTATTCTTGCTGCTGTTGTTGCGTACATAAAGAAAGTTCTATCCTTTTTTAACACCGATTGGCCGACTATGCCCAGGAGAAAGGCCTCTGGTTTCTTCAAGAAGGTATATTTAAATACCTTTCTTAATTCATTATATATCATTTCCCAGAAAGCCTTAATCTTTGGGCACGTCCACCAAAGGTGAAAAAATGTACCTTCAGTTTCTTTACATTTCCAACATTTATTATCGGGCAAATGGTAGATTTTTGCAAGCTTGACTGGGGTTATGTACCACCTGTATATCATTTTCATAATATTCTCTCTTAAGGCATTACATGCCGTAAATTTCATACCTGTGGTCCATAACTGCTCCCAGTCAGCAAACATAATGTTGTGTCCAACGTCTTGTGCCCATTTAATCATAACAGATTTCACCGTTTCATCCTGAGTGTTCCATTTCAACAGCAAGTTATACATCTTTGACAAATTCTTAGTTTTGGGTTCTAACAGTTCAGTTTCTAATTTTGATTTTTCCACCTGGAAGCCAATTTTCTTGTCCAATTTAAATGCCTCCATTATCTGAAAATAATGAAGCCAGTCTCGCACTTTGTTTTTTAATTTTTCATAACTCTGCAATTTCAGTCTATCTCCATCTTGTTCCAAAATTTCCCAATATTTTGGCCATTTGACCTCCATATTGAGCTTTTTCAAGGCTTTCGCTTCCATTGGTGACAGCCACCTTGGGGTTTTGTTTTCTAATAAATCCTTGTATCTTATCCAAACATTAAACAGTGCTTTCCTGACAATATGGTTTTTGAATGCTTTATGTGCTTTGACCTTATCATACCACAGATATGCATGCCATCCAAATACATTGTTAAAACCTTCTAAGTCCAAAATGTCAGTGTTTTCAAGAAGCAGCCATTCTTTCAACCAGCAAAAAGCTGCTGATTCATAATAAAGTTTAAGGTCTGGCAGGGCAAATCCACCTCTTTCCTTTGCATCCGTTAGTATTTTAAATTTTATTCTGGGCTTCTTGCCCTGCCAGACAAATCTAGAAATATCTTTCTGCCACCTCTTGAAACAATCCATTTTGTCCACAATTTGCAAAGTTTGAAACAAAAACAACATTCTAGGCAATACATTCATTTTTATCGCAGCAATACGGCCCAGCAGTGAAAGCTTCAAATTTGACCAAATTTCTAAATCTTTTTTCACTTCAGCCCAACATTTTTCATAGTTATCTTTAAATAAATTCCCATTTTTTGCTGTCATGTTGATCCCCAGGTATTTAACTTTCTTAACCACTGTTAAACCTGTTCTTTCTCTCTGCTAATCCATTGTCCTCTGGACTATGCGGGTTAGTTTTTCTGTGACCTATGCCCTTTGTCTGTAACCATGACTGAAAAGGTCCAGACAAAAATTCGCCTCCGTGGTCAGATTGCAGCTGTTTAACTTTGTGAGAAAACTGCCTTTCAACATATGCCACCCAGCCTTTAAATTTAGAAAACACTTCACCTTTGTGCTTCATAGGATAGACCCAACAAAACCTTGTGGCATCATCTATGATCGTTAGCACATAATGGGAATTACCCCTACTGAGTGCGAAAGGACCACACACATCAGCATGCACAAGCTGAAAAGGTTTTTTTACTTACCCTCTCACTTCTGGGATAAGACCCTCGGTGGCTCTTGACCTTCTTGCATACATTACAGTCAAGATATTTGTCCCAACCCTGTAACTCACACCCATCACTTAAATCTGGCATTTTGGTTACACTTTGCCCGTGAGTGTGACCTAATCTACGGTGCCATAAATGCAAACACTGCTTGTGAAAAGCCTCAGTTTTGCATACAGGTTGTATATCACTGCTAGCTAGCACAGACTCCTGTACACAGTCTTTCAGTACAAACAAACCATTTTCTGCCAGAGCCCTCCCCAGTGTGTCTCTGTCTTTCTGGATCTCACAGCAACTGTCCCTGAAATGCACAACAAACCCAGCTTTCATCAGACAGGAGACGGACATCAGGTTGCTCCTCAGAGAAGGAACACACAAAACATTGTCCAGATCTGTGCGTAGACAGGATACAAAAACAGATCCACCCGACTCCACATCAGATTTCCTGCTGTCTGCCAATGCGACCTGGCTCTGGTGTAGAAACTTTCTTGGCAGAAAACGCCTCTGAAACAACAATGTGCCGGGAACTGCCTGAATCAATCATCTAGGTGTTTCGCCATTCAGGACACTCGACCACCGCCGTCACGAATTGTACCATCTGCCTCCTCTTTCCAGACTTTCTCTGCTGTTTCCGATGCCTTTGACCCTCGAATACAGCCTCCTCCAGACACTGCTTCCTCAGATGCCAAGTAGAACAGCACTTGTAACAGCGCCGTACAGCAAATGCAGATTCCTCCCTGGCTGTCGCTCGTGTACGTTGTTTTGGCTGCTTCTCCTCTGGAATGTTGCCTGCATTCCTCACAAGCCGATCACTTGTCAAAGCACTCGGAGCCGACAACTGCTTCCCGTCACGCCTCTGCCATTCCTCCAGCAGTTGACCAGTAACATAATCCAAGGTCAGGTCTTGTTCACACATAGCCTCCAGCGTGAGAACAAGATTGTCCCAGCTATCAGGAAGAGAGCTTAAAACTATGCAAACTTTCTCCTCCTCAGGCAAATTACAGCCTCTCTTGAAGTGCCACAAACTTCAACTGCAGATCATGGAGATCGTCTTGCATTGTAACTCCTGGCTGAAGTACCGATTTGTAGAGAGCCTTCCGGATTGACAGCTTTGAACTGGCTGTCTCCCGAATGTGAAGATTTCGCAGCGCTAACCACACTGCCCTTGCAGAATCATGCCCATGCACATGCAGCAGCTGCAAATCATCCAGTCCTAGGACTATCGTGGCTTTTGCCCTTTGGTCTTTTTCTCTCTGCAATGTAGCCTGCATAAGCTGAGACCATAGCAAATAGTCGTGGTTGTTCAGCTGTTCAAACGGCAACGCCAACGGATAAGCCATTTCTTCCGAGCAGTGTTCCACAACAAACAGGAACAGGAACCAACTACTCACAGCTCCCAAAGAGAGTTATCCACAAAATCCAGCTTTTACACTCCAGCTGGTGTCTGTCTTTAGCAGCTCCAGTTGTCCAGTTGTCCAGGACACACAGGTCTTGCTGGTCAACTTCTGGCATCAACACATACACGACACACTGAGGCATCTGATCAAGATCTGCTTTGAGCTTAAAAAATATATTTGTAAATATTTATATCTCTCATGCCAGGGAGAGACCAGCTGAATACTCTGGCAGCTGTTCAAGGGCCCCACTGCTATAAATAGCAGTATTTCAGGGTTGTAAAAAGTATTTCAGGGTTGTAAAAGGAAATTATAGGCTGAGAGCAAAAAGGTCACACTGACCATACAAATTACAGAATACAATCAAGCTGCAAAAACACAATTAAGAGCTGGTAAATAGTGAAATTTATTGTTTAACAGAAGACTCGAGCCATAAGGTTAAAGGTTAAATTGAAGAGGTTGCTTTTAGAAACAGCAGCTGGATAGGGAAAAAGGCTTCTCTCCAAGCTGTTTTGAAGCTTCAGAGAATTTAGAGAACTTAGAGAACTTAGCTTTTACTAAGTTCCTTTTAATTTGAAAAGGCCTTTCCTTCTAAAAATCTATCTATGTTATGTATGAAATATATTGGCTTAAATGTAATTATGCAAAGGATTTAGAAAGTAAGAAATGTTAGATTCTTATGTTAGATTCTTATTATGGTGTGTGAGAAGGTGAACTCAAGATCTCTTTAAGATAAAAAAATTAAAAACCATGCACCATCTGCTTTAGCCATCTGGTTTGCAGTGAATAGGGCAACAGGGGCCAAAGGTTATCTGGTAATTGAGGTGCCTGGTCGAGGTAAATGTAAGATATATGGCTACTTGTCTGCCATTTATGGATACAAGGAAATATAGCTCTTTGTCTCCCATAAAAGGAAATAGGAAATGGGTGTATCTTTTATGATTGGTTCTAGCAAACAACCAATAGGAATTTCAACCAGGCTGATTGGACAGATTCAGCCAAAGGATGAGCAAGGGTATGGGCTGAGGAAATATAAGTGCTGGCCATCAGGGCTGGAGTAGGCAGAGCTTTGGTATCCATATACCACTGTGTCTCTCATTTATTTGTCTGACAAATAAATTATTATTTTAATTTCTCTATTGCTGCATTGAATATTTCATTCCAGCTAAGCGTTAACCACAAGCAGGGTGCTACAACACTACTGCTGATCACCTCCGGCCAGTCCTCACCAACTCCTTCGCTAGGAATCTGGGAGACTGTTGACCCAAGGGTCCACAGCTTCACAAACACTCTGCAACTGTCCTGCTGCCCATAACCTGTTGATGCTTCGCAACCTTAACCAGTTGCAGGATCTTAGCCAGACCCAGTTGAATATAGCAGAGCATATGCAGACTTCCAGAAGCAGTCAGTTGCAGGAAGGAAGGATGAAGCAGGAACTCAGCTTCGCCTTTGAGCTGGTGCCAACAACTGAGCTCAACCTCTTCAGCCCCGACTGGGCCAGGCAAGCTGGGAAAGCACTTCCAGAGACCTTCCACTGCAGGGAGCAGGTCTAAGTGCAATGGACTCACAACCTAGAGCTGTGAGCACCAAACTCAGTTCCAAAAGTCAGCGGAGCACAGCAGAGTATAAACCACACGAACGACGGCTCTGAAGTATAACTTCTTTATTCTTCTACAGCTACTGCAAAACTAAAAATAAACTACTAAAGACTATCGGAGACGCTGGACTGCATGAGTGTTACAGTTGCTTGAGCAGTCACCTTATCTCTATACAGATAACACTCAGACTCCTACAGGCTGGAGCAGAAGAAGCAATGAACAGATTCTGCCCTCTCCTTTCTGGAACATTGTCAGCAGATTCTTGCAATGGGAGGGGTGAAATATCCACAGGAGCAAGACGCTGCTACTGGTAACTTGGTTACTTAAAGGTGTTTATTATTTACAGCAGACTCACAAGTTACTATATACAGGATAAAGACATGGATCTTAACTCTCTCACTGAACAAACTCCAAACGACTCTCAGAACACACACTGACCAACCAACTATCCAGCAAGGAAGGTCATGAGTCATCATGCCTATCTGGAGACCTCAACCAATAGCAGAGTTTCATCCAAGCCTCCATATCTCTAGGCAGAATAACTCCCTCTGCTCAGTCTTCTTGGCCTTCGGCCAACTTCTTAATTGCTTCTGTGGGAAGCTGCATCAAATAGCACGTAGTCATAAATCCTAACATTCCAATCTGTTACCTGTAAGGATGTGGACAGGCTACTTGAATGAGTGAAACCAACCACCAGTCTCCTTGATCCTTGCCCATACTGGCTTATAAAAGCGAGCCAGAAAGGGCTGGGCGATGGGTTCTGCAGGGTGGTGAATGCTTCTCTCTGTGAGGGAGCCTTCCCAGACCCACTGAAAGAGGCGGTTATCAAAAAGCTTCTTAAAAAAACCATCTTTAGATGCGGCCAATATGGCCAACTATCACCCAGTCTCAAATCTTACATTCTTGGGCAAGGTGATTGAGCAAGTGGTTTCTGAACAACTCCAGGCACGCCTGGAAGAAGCAGACCATTTTGATCCCTTCCAGTCGGGATTCAGGCCTCATCATGTGACAGAAACTGCCTTGGTTGCACTGGTCGATGTTCTCCAGCAGGCAAGGGACAAAGGTGAAAACTGTTTCCTAGTTCTGCTGGATCTCTCAGTGGCTTTTGATACCATTGACCATAACATCCTTTTGGACTGTCTAGAGGGGCTGGGAGCTGGGGGGACTGTTATACAGTGGTTCCGCTCCTTCCTCCTGGGCCATGTTCAGAATGGGGGGGGGTGCGTGTTCAGACCCCTGGGCTCTCACTTGTGGGTTCTCTCAGGGTTCTGTCCTCTCTCCCATGCTTTTAAACATCTACATGCAGCCGCTGGGAGAGATAATCAGGGGCTTTGGGCTGGGTGTTCACCAGTATGTGGATGATACCCAGCTCTACCTCTCTTTTAAATCAGAACCAGTGAAGGCGGTGAAGGTCCTGTGTGAGTGCCTGGGGGTGGTTGGAGGATGGATGGCGGCTAACAGATTGAGGTTGAATCCTGACAAGACAGAAGTACTGTTTTGGGGGGACAAGGGGCAGGCAGGTGTGGGGGACTCCCTGGTCCTGAATGGGGTAACTGTGCCCCTGAAGGACGAGGTGCGCAGCCTGGGAGTCATTTTGGTCTCACAGCTGTCCATGGAGGCGCAGGTCAATCTGTGTCCAGGGCGGCTGTCTATCAGCTCCATCTGATATGCAGGCTGAGACCCTACCTGTCTCGCCAGAGTGGTGCATGCTCTAATTATCTCCCACTTGGACTACTGCAACGTGCTCTGTGTGGGGCTACCTTTGGAGGTGACCCGCAAACTGCAAATAATCAAAAATGCGGCAGCTAGGATGCTGACTGGGACTGGCTGCCGAGGCCATATAACACTGGTTCTGAAAACGTACATTGGCACCCAGTACATTTCCGAGCACAATTCAAAGTGTTGGTGCTGACTTTTAAAGCCCTAAACAGCCTTGGTTCAGTATACCTGAAGGAGCGTCTCCACCCACATTGTTCTGCCCGGACACTGAGGTCCAGCATCGAGGGCCTCTTGGTGTTTCCCTCACTGCAAGAAGCCAAGTCACAGGGAACCAAGCAGAGGGCCTTCTCGGTAGTGGCACCCGCCCTGTGGAACACCCTCCCACCAGATGTCAAAGAGAAAAACAGCTACCAGACTTTTAGAAGACATCTGAAGGCAGGCCTGTTTAGGGAAGCTTTTAATGTTTGACAGACAATTGTATTTAGTATTTTGTTGGAAGCTGCCCAGAATGGCTGGGGAAACCCAGCCAGATGGGCGGGGTATAAATAATTTATTATTATTATTATTATTATTACAGTGGTGCCTCGCAAGACGAAATTAATCCGTTCCGCAAGTCTTCGTCTAGCGGTTTTTTCGTCTTGCGAAGCAAGCCCATTGACGGATTAGCGCTATTAGCGCTATCAGCTGTTTAGCGGCTATTAAAGGCTTAAAGGCTTAGGGGATTAGCTGCTAAAAGGCTATTAAAGGCTATTAAAGGCTTAGCAGATTAGATAAAGGGGGGGGGAAGCGAAAAAAAAATCTCAGGACTCGCAAGGTATTTTCGTCTTGCGAAGCAAGCCCATAGGGGAATTCGTCCTGCGAAGCAACTTCAAAACGGAAAACCCTTTCGTCTAGCGGTTTTTCCGTCTTGCGAGGCATTCGTCTTGCGGGGGCACCACTGTATTATTATTATTATTATTAGCTTCTTGTCTATGCTGGTTAACGGAATGGTTGCTATTGAAGGATCCGTATGTTTTAGACCTGGAAGGTCATGATAATATATTTGGTTGGGACACATATTTATAGTATGAAAAGTTGAAAATGCATAAAGGATTTATAAACCATATATTCAGGAAAAAAATGTATATAGTATGGGATAAATATAAAAATCTATTAGAAAGGAAAACACCACTTTGGCTTTCACCATGGGGTGAAGAAGAGAAATATGATGGAAAACTGAGTAACTTATATAAATCTGTTAAGGGAGGAAGGTGGAGAGTTTAAATTAAAAGAGTTTAAAGACTTATCAGGACTGTTAAAATGGTTACAATGTCATTAAGTAAATGAAGTATATATAAAAGATAAGAAACAGGTTTGGGGAACAAACATCGCAAGTAGAGAGAGACCTACTAGACTGCAATGTTAAAGTGATGTTTAAAATGTATAAGATGTTATTAGAGTGGGATACAAAAGATGAACAAGTGAAAGCTTCAATGATACATTGGGCAATGGACATTGGACATAACATAGAAATGGAGGCATGGGAAAATTGTGGAATACAGATATAAAATTTATAGCATGTTACGCTTTAAGAGAAAATTATATGAAAATGTTATATAGATGGTCTCTAACACCTAGTAGACTAGCTAAAAGGTACAAATCAAAACTGAACAAGTATTGGAAATGTAAACAGAAAGAAGGTACCTTTTTTCATACATGGTGGACCTGCAGTAAGGCTAAAGTTTACTGGGAAATAATATAATGAATTGAAAAAGATGTTTAAGATAACTTTTGTTTAAAAAACCCCCCAAAAACAGAAGCTTTTCTTTTAGGAATTATAAGACTGGACTTACCTAAACAATATAAAATTTTATTTATGTATGCGACCACTACTGCAAGAATGGTATTTGCCCAAAGATGGAAGGAGGTAGATGTCCCGTCAAAAGAAGAATGGCTACAGAAACTTGTTGGGTGGTTTCTTTAAATCTTAGGTTTCATTATTGTTCCACAAGATGTGTATGTCTTTAAGGGCCAGAGCAAATAACATGACCTAGTTTTACAGCTGTGAAGCAGTATAGCAGGTGCTGTTAAGTTATGTTAATTAAGCTGTTGGGTATAGTATATAAAGAGCAGCACCTAGCTCTCTCAGTACCATGGTGGATGGGTCACACTTGTTGATATAATGTAATTTAGTGTAAAAGGAGTTTTTGTTATTTGTTATTAAACCAAGCAAAAGTTACTTTTGTGTTTCTTGGATGTGTGGTCTCCCTAGCACACCTTCTGCAGCCCAACTAATCTGCGAAAAGCCAACAAAATATATGTAAAGATTATTCTGTTTCAAATGTTTATTTGTCATAAATGAAAATTATACATAGAAAGGGATCCAAATGGTCTGCATCCTCCAGGTTTCCCTGGAGTTATTCAGTGACCACATGTTCAATCACCTATGCTATGAAACTTGGTTTGCCTAGTATGCTTCGAAATAGTGTAGCATCTTCAAAAAGCCTCACCTACGGCCTGATAACAGCTCTCTTCTCCTCCTTCCTCTCTTGCAAGTGCTGGTCAATTCTCAAGGCTGCTTGCATCAACACCTCTAGGAAACGGGGGGGGGGGGGGGGGCATTCTTGCCTACTCATCCAGCAGGGTTTCACTCAGCCCTGCACAGTAAATAGCCAGCAAGGCATCCTGATTCCATGCTAGTTCCTGTGACAACAAACTGAACTCTGTACTGTACTCCATTACTGAGTTAGACCTCTGCTTCAGCTTCATTAGCTTTCGTGTACTTGCAGGTTTCTGCTATGGGTCCTGGAACACGGACTCAAGATGAGCCATAAAACTATCCAATCTCAACAAACAAGGGTCTTGATTAATTAATAGGAGAGGCACCCAGCATCTGGCGGCTCCTTTCAGAAGATTAATTACAAAAAACACACGTTCCTGGTCTGACAAAAAGTTATTTGCTTCAAACCCAAGGAACTCAGAGGTTTCTCCATTGAACTTTGATGGGGGAATCGGGGTGTGTGTGTCTTACTGACCGTCTCTGTGTTTCTGCTCCCATTCTGCATTTTGATAGTTGACAGCCATTGTTAATTGTTCTACATGTCCTCTCTGCATTAATTTTTGTTGTAAAAGCCATTGAATTGCTCATCTCAGTTATCAGTGTTGGCAGGCTGCCCCCCCCCCCAGCTTCTGTGCTGTTTGTCATGATTTATGACTTAACTGGCAATTAAAGTTGACTCTGTCAGGATGCTGTCGCTGGCTCCCAGCTGGTTGCCTAGGAAAGTATAAAGACAAGGAAAAGTTTCTTACAGTCCTTTTTTATTTCAAACTTTAGAGAGAGAGGCTATAGAACCCAGCCTCTTGGATAATGGTGTTGTCCCAAGTGAATCTCCACCCCCCCTCTCCTTTATTCGTCATCATTATCACCACCTCTACGGGTGCCGCTAAGTGCCCTCGGTCTTCGAGCTCTTTGTTCTCCTACTTTTAAGGCTCACTGGGTTCTGGGAGATGAAGGGTCTGGAATGCTTTCTAGTGACAACATGTCAGCCAGCTGCTGCTCCGGCTCTGCCTCCTCCTTCTCTTCCTCCTCTTCCTCTCCCTCTCCCATTATTTCTCAGCTTTCCCCCTCATCTGCCTCTGAGCTGTGACCTCCCGCAAGCCACTGTTGTAAATCTATGCTGTTTTTCTCTTCCTCCTCCCTGGAAGGATGAGGATAGGGAGGCGGTCTCCACCATTCTTCCCCCTCTGCCCAGTCCCTGACACTACATTTCCAAGGTTTTTCAATTCAAAATGGTTTTGTAGGTTTTGAATAAATTCAGTATACTTTTACTTGTCAGACCAGAAAATCAACCAGCCATCTACAAAACAAAGCACAAAGCAAAGTTTTATGGTGTCCTTCCTCCTCTACAAATATACATTGGTCTGCTTTACCCTGCACAAAACCTTTGGATGTTAGTGTGCTTGTTAATTTGGCATTCCAGCATTTTACTGCCTGTTTAAGTTCACACAAGGACTTTTGCAGTTTGCACACCAGTCCTTATTCCACTGTAACTCCTTCAGGTGACAACATATAAATATCCTCTAATAAATTTCCATACAGAAATGCTGTGGTAACACCATGATAGGATATTTGCATGCTCTCTTGAGGTGCAACTTTGAACATTAATCTAATACTTTCAAATCGAATTGTTGGCACAATTACCTCATGATAATTTTGCCCTTTGACCTGAGCAAATCCACAAGCTACCAACCTTGCTTTGTGGCACACAATCTGGCCAGTTTGATGTGTTTTTACTTTATAAATTCACCTGCTATCTATCAGCTTCATGGATGGGTGCCTTTTTACTAACTTCCATGTTTTATTTTTGTTTAAGGAATTTAGTTCAGTTTGCATAGCAGCAATCCATGGCTTAGCTTCCTCTGGGGATAAATCCTGAATGAATAAATAAATAATAATAACCTCCTTAAAACTTTTTGGTTCAAAAACAGCTTTACCAGCAAACACCGTTTGGGCAAATTAATCCTTAAAACTTTTGGGTGGCTGCCCTTTGTTTGAGCACTTTGACCTGCACACTTCTGCCTTGTGCAGAAACCTCTTTCTTTGGTGACAATGACCCTATCGTGAATAAGGGTTTCTCTTCATTATCTGATACATCAGAATGCCTAGGAGTGTCTCTGGTGCTCAAGAACTCTCTTTCAAAACCACTCTCATCAAAATCAGATTCTGATTCATGTTCTGACTCCTGCTTTGAGTCAGGATAGAACTGGAAAATTCCCACATTTTCCCACTTAGCATTGTATTCCACACTCCTGGTCAATCTTAGTTTGTGTACCTGATATCAATACATGATTGTTGACGTTGTTTGTTGTGTTAGAATTAACTCAAGGGTTGGTGCGAGGGGGTCTTCATGTGGTTAGGTTCACATTACTGTGAAGAAGCATGCTGAAGTAATGATAAAGATTGATAGGTAAAGTTTTATTAAGCCTTTTTGTGCTAAGGTGTTGGCTTTAATGTTAGGGAGATTTAAAGAAACTAGACAGAGGACGAGATGGTTGGACAGTGTTCTCGAAGCTACCAGCATGAGTTTGACCAAACTGCGGGAGGCAGTGGAAGACAGGAGTGCCTAGCATGCTCTGGTCCATGGGGTCACGAAGAGTCGGACACAACTAAACAACAAAGTCCTTTTCTAAACAAAGCAGATCATTAATGTGAAGGGCCATATTTTGTCCTATAAATAAGGAGGTTGTTGGTATGAGGCAGTGAAAGGTTGGATTAAAAAATCCTAGTTGGTTGGGAAATTTGTGGTGTTTTGTTCATTTTGTGGTAGTAAGTCAAGTGGTTTTTTGTGATTTGTAGGGCAAATAGTACTACTAGGATGGCAACAATTATGGCGGATAGTTTTAAGGAGGTTGGTTTGGTGGTTGGGGTTGGTTTTGTTGGTATAATAGTGGCTATAAGGATTAAACCTGTTAGAAGGCTTCCAATAGCGAGACGGATGAGGGGATTGGTAAGGGTTGGGGGAGTTTCGTTTATGATAGTTGTTGTTTGTGGTGTGTTTAGTTGGACGTAGAAGGTTATTCGTATGGTGTAGGTGGCGGTTAATATTGCGAAGAGGGTAATTATTAGGGCTCAGGCGTTCAGGTGGGAGTTGTTTACAGTTTCAATAATTGTGTCTTTTGAATAAAAACCTGATTAAAAGGGGGTTCCTGTAAGGGCAAGGTTTCCGATGGTCAAGCATGTAGCTGTGGTTGGTAGTATTTTTTGTACTCTGCCCATTTTTTGGATGTCCTGTTCATCATTTAAATTGTGGATAATTGTACCTGAGCATAGGAATGGTATAGCTTTGAAGAAAGCATGAGTGGAGATGTGGAAGAAGGCAAGTTGAGGTTGGTTTAATCCGATTGTTACTATTATTAGTCCTAATTGACTGGAGGTTGAGAATGCAATATATTTTTTTAATACCATTTTGTGTTAGAGCACATAGGGCTGTAAACAGTGACAATGAGTCTGTTAACTCTCTCTCTCCCAGTTCTCCTCCTCCTAGCTGTTCCCCACCCAGTACTTCCCAGATTATGCCTTCTGAACTATGTCCCTCTGCAAACCACTGTTCCAAATCTATACTACTTCCCTGCTCCTGGGAAGATTCAGGATCCTGATCAGGAGCGGGGGCAGGGGCAGGGGCAGGGGCAGGGGCAGGGGCAGGGGCAGGGGCAGGCTCCCACTATTCCTCCTCAGTGCAGCCCTCAGCACTGTCCCTGACAGCACCCTAATCCGCAGGGTCACGGTTTCGCCAAAAACCTGACGTTGTCTGATTCACTCAAAAATTGTGCCAAACACCTATAAATTGCCCCCTGCAGTGTTTTGCGGTGCAAACACCACATTTCACGGTAGGCACATCTCACTAGGGAGGGCTTTCCACAAGTGAGGAACCACCACTGATAAGGCCCTGTCATGGGTCAGTGCCAACTGGGCAGACCCTGGTAGTGGCACCACCAACAAGACCTCACCTGCCGATTGTTGGGTCTGAGACAAAGCTACCAGTTTTGTCTCTTTTAGGGACAATTCATATGGCCACTGCAACGCAAGACTCAGTCTTACAATACAGTATGTCTAACAATAATTGAGTCTGTGTGTTTATTAGGGAAAGTTAACCATTTAACCTTTGATAACAAGAGCAGCAGATAGCAGGATATATATGTGAAAGCCATTATCAGTGAAACCACACAGACAAAACTGTCATATCACCTCACTTCAAATTTATCAATTAACAAGAATTCATACATTCTCTGTGGCAGCCCTTAAAACTGTGGGATTCCCTCCCCACAATAGTGTGTCTGGGACCTTCATTGTATAGCTTTCATTTCATGCTGAAGATGCACCTCTTCGGCTTTTGACAGCTGATATATGGGTTTAGAACCCACCCTATTATTTTGGTTGTAAATTATTTTAACTGATTTTAGTATTGTATTTTTACATGTTTTAATCTGCGCTGGTAGCTAAGACTCATGAAGCCCTGTAGTGGTTAGCAAACCCCAGGAACCACTGCAAGTCCTTTTTACATCTGAGCAGCTACCAGCTCAGAACACTACTGACTATGGAGAGGTCCATATCCACGCCTGCAGGAAACACCCAGTACCCCAGAAAGTCCACAATGGATACATGGAAGGCACATTTTATCCAGTTTAGCATACAATTTGTTCTTCTGTAGTCTCTGCAGCACCAATCTCACATGTTTCTGATGTTGTTCCATGTAATTTGAGTAGATAAGGCTATTGACCAGATAAACTACCACAAAGTGGTCCACAAAGTCCTGGAGCACATGGTTGATGAACACTTGCAACATGGTGGTGCCTGTCGTAGTCCCATGCTGCCCAGTCATGGCAGAGCTCAGTGGCAGAAGGGGCTAGCCAATAGGGTGGTTTATAAAAAGCTTTTTTTAAAAAAATGCCTGCTCCAAAGGTCTTATCTTACTACACTAGGGATTATATAGCTATATCTGAAATTTCATGCATATCAGTTAATATCTTGATCCTGCTCCACTGAATTGAAATTTCAGCCTTCACGACATCGGAAAACAGCCAAGTAAACAGCTTTTTTCATGGAGCAGGGTCAAGATATTAACTGATATATAGCTATATCTGGAATTTCAATTCAGTGGAGCAGGATCAAGATATTAACTGATATGCATGAAATTTCAGATATAGCTATATAATCCCTAGTGTAGTAAGATAAGACCTTTGGAGCAGGCATTTTTAAAAAAAGTTTTTTATGAACTGCCCTGCTAGCCAACCAGCCAAGTCTCGGGGGGGGGGGTACTTGCTGGAGGCAGAGTCCATATGCAAGGTTCAGTCCAGTCCTAAGGTCAGGAGTATCTCAGCTCACATAGCCAGACGATCCGGGGGTCAGGAAAGCCAAGAGTCCAAGGTCATGAGAAGCAAGAAGCA